CCAAATGGGAGACATGTAAGAGGAAACCATAATTGGACCATCTCTGTGATTATCTGTGTGTCTGTCTGTGGACAAGTTGCTTTTGATCTCTGATACTAAGTGGGCTTTTCTGTACATAGGGATGAAGTTGCTTTTGATCTGTGGTACTAAGTGGGGTTCTCCATGCATGAGGATGCTAATGTTCCAGTCTGATCGACAGCATGAGGGTTGGAATACAACGCTTATGAAGCTTTCTGCAGGTGTCTGGCAAATGGTAACATCTTGATAAATATTAGTCACTGGGGATTGTTTGAAAAGCCCCTACTGGCTGAAACCCAACTGGAAAAACAAACCATTTGGAGAACAAAGTCCTTTCCATGGGCTCTCTGTGCTTTTCTGTTGCCTCCCAAGATTTGGGGGAAGTTGGTCTGCTTGGTGATTAGCACTAATTGCAGTTTAATTATGCAATACATCTAACAGTGGAAGAAGAGGTTGTCCATGGGTCATGGCCACTCCAATCAGACAGGCCTCGGAGCCTCAGTGTTGTACACACTGCAGGACTCTATGATCTGATGGAATATAAGATAAATTTGGCCACTGAAAAGGTTGCACTTGGGGAGTAAGCAGTGAGCACATCACCTCTTAGAACAGCTTGCTTCTGTTTGCGTTTCAAACCATAATTGTTTCTAGGAAGAACTACATCCCAAACTCCAAGGGATCTGGAGGTGAGTTCTGGAACACCATGTCACACCTGTCAGACAGGGTGGTTAAAAACTCTCTTGCAGACATGTTAGTGGGAGCCAAGGCAACGCTGGGAGCATGGAGGCAGCCACTCATTCCACACGTGAGGATGGTACTCACCCTTCGTATCTTCCACTGCTCTGTGGCCCACTGTCGTCACACTTCCAGGAGTAGGCAGCCAGGTGTGCATTTGGAAGGGTTTGCTTTGCCTAACAGACCCAGATGAGGAGCACTGAAGGCTATGAGGGTGTGAAGAGACACCTGTCTTTTCCTTTGTTGTCAAACCTGCTCACTTGGGGTCACTTCTTTGTCCTGGGAGTTCAGCTCTGTAGCTACTACCCACCTCCAAAAGGGTGGCCCTACTTCCCTGCTCTTGGGGTCCCCAGCCTATAGTGCTCACCATGTTTCCTTTCACAACTCTACTTTTTGCACAAATTGATTAATTTAGTATCTGCTGCGCGGTGTCCTGGTATTGATGCGTCTGTAACAAAGCAATCTTTGAACATTTACTGCTCTTGCAGTCATTGAGTATAGGGATATGCAATGGTACTGTGTCTATTTGCATGTGCATCTCATAGTTACATCTACTTGAAGAAGAAAATCTATTCTTTCTTTTAAATAAGCATGCATATTAAAGTAGACAGACCTGAAGACGAAACATTAATCATGTGACATATGTCCTTATTAGAAAATATTGCATCAGAGTACTAACCAATGCTTTACAGATATCAATATGTGGGGTTTTTTCTTTGCCATGTATTGTGTATCAAAAACCTCTGCACTTTTTCCTTTAAAGGAGTCAATATTCATTTGTATTCTGTGCTGACAGCTACAAACTGATGGCTAGCAGTTATCAAATAAATGTTGATGAAAAGCGGCTACTTAACATTTTTATCCCAACAAAGGGTTTTAGAAGGATGGATAATTTAGATCTCAGGGTCTCAACCACAAACAAATGGCAACCGCTTCCTAAATCCCACCTTCCTGTAGTTGAAGATTGGGCTTCAGGTCTGACAAATGATTTCTGAAAGGGAATGATGAACCCGTCGCCAAGATGCTCTTAACTAATCCCAAACAAGAACCCTAGGTAATTTTACATGCACTAGAAAGACTGATTGCACACTTCTTCTCTGGAAGCTCACAAATGTTGGGATGGATAGGAAGTGGCATTTAGACATGATTAAAGATTCTACTGGGCTTCCCAGAAATTCTCCGTCCTGAGTCATCCATACCCTGACTCACTGCCTGTGCTGTGGAATGGAGGTGTACTTCTCTGCCGTTCCACAATTACTGTGCAACTTACTGATAAATTACTCTCAAAAATCATTTAAGGGAACCCACAGCTCCCGCCAGTGTTTATGTGTCAAGGTGTTATTATCTTATCACAGTAGATCAGTAAGCAGTAGTAGCAACTGGCAAGTCACGTCTTCAGATATTGTATATTGGAGTTGTTAACATTATTTCCCTTGTATAGCTCTTTCATCTTTTCTGAATTATGTACTGATGCCCCAGAAAGTGGCATGAAAGTCATTTGATGGTGATTAAAGTGCTTTTTAAAATTTTTTTTAACCGTTTAAAAATGTTTCATCTTGTATCAGCTGTACCGGCTTGTTTGCTAATGAGATTTCATGAACAAGGCTTGGTCTCATTCTGATGATATGCAGACCAAAAAACTGAAGAGCCCAAAATGAGAGCTCGTTATTAAACTGTCCTCACATCTGATCCTATAAAGATGTCACTCAGAAGTTGCCACTAGGACAGCTGGAAAGAGAATTCCCCTAGGAGACAAAGGGGTGGTGAGCATGGGACCAACAATACGTTGTCAACATTTAATTGCTCAGCAAGGGAAGAAAACAAAGCGTACACAATTGGTCTTTGGAGTGGAGGAGGTGGGCTTTGCTTTCAGGAGCCTCCCCCTGCACTGTGTTCTATGAAACCAGAACCACGGTGATGGCATTTGGATTGTGCACCACCCCAAGCCCAGGGGCAAAAGACTCAAAGTTAGTTATTGATTAAAAAAGAAAACAATTGAGCTTTTCCGAAATGTATGGTTTTTGGGATGGTAGCCAAATGTGGGTTGGTAGGAAATGAGGCCAGCTGCTCCCAGATTCCACGGAGAGAGAATACACCCCCTGGCCCCCCATCCATGTGATTCCAAGTCAATGCAACCGCAGAATGTCTTTGCAAAAATACCATTTCAACAATGCTACAGTGAAACTTGATATCATTTTACAAGGTCCTAGTGGCAAAATACTACATTGGCTTGGAGGAATTTGGCCTTTTGCTTTCCCAAGTCTCTTTTGCCTTCCCTTAGTCTTTTCTCAGGAGGGGCAGTTCCATCCTGATGCATGAATTCTGATATTATAACCACTCCGGGTTTGGGGCCTGGGACTTGGGCATATGCTGACGAGATTCTCTCACCATTTGGGAGTGGAGAAGTCATCTGACCACTCTCTGGTAGAGTCGGCAGCTGCAAAGTAAAATGGGAGCCCAAGACAGCTACCCTCGAATTTATACAAAGCAGTGTCTCTACCTGAATTCTAAGAACTGATGCCTAGGAGATTTTGGCTTGATTTAGCTGGATAAGCATCTCTGTTCTCCCATCCCCCTGTAGAGGCACTTCTGCTTCCCTTTTCCCCGAATGGGAGGCAGAGGAGTCAGGTAAACCAAGGGAAAGTCTGTAGATCAGTGCGCCAGGTGCTAAGCTAAGGGTTATTAGGAATAATAATTCAGTGAAAGGAAATTTGGATGACATGAACTCATTTCCATTAGACTTGAGACTCACAAATCAATTGGGAAAGAAACGGCTGCATCCAAGACACTCACTGGCTATCTGATAAGTGGGCAGGGTAAGGAACCGGGGAGGTAGCAAACCAGTGATTATTTAATAAACTTCATGTGACTTGTTCAGCTTCTGACCTGGTGGAACTTGTCCAGTGGAGTCAAAGCCAGGACTATCAAAGCTTGAGTCTCTGTCTTACTCGCAGTCCACACCCTGTGCATGGTCATGTCACGTGGGCGCATTTGATCATTTCATTTTCAGACTGATTCCCCTGTGACCATAAACACTGAAGCCAACACAAAGCACAAAGCCCCAAGTCTGCATTATAGAACTTCCCTAAAATTATAACACCTTGGGATCCTGCTTCTCAGAATGTCCCTGGCTCCCAGTGATTCTTGAATGTACCTTTGGGTGGGGATAGAAACTCATGGCCCCCTAACCAGACAACCCTAACATGCCCTAAAAACAGCCTCCTCCGTAGTTGCCTTTTCCGTGCTCTGTCGCAACCCCACCCCCATCAGCTGATAATTAGTTGGTACAGCAAGGGCTGAGGTGCACATAAATAATCATAAGATGCCAGATAAACTGTATTGGTTTTAAATTAGAGCCGTGCGTACAGTGTCTCCCTATGAACAGCAGCCTATTATTTTTAATTATGGCTTGCAAAGCAAAGTGATTTCTTGCCCTCTTCACTGCGGCCCTGACAGTCTTCTGTCAGTCCGGATGACATGGTGTCCATCAGCACACACACATCCCTGGCCACGGCCCCCACTGTTACATCAGAGTTGAACCAAAAGTGATCAATGGCATTCACTGAAACTCGTGTTTTGACGTGGCCTGGGAGACAATGTACCAGCAGCCACTGTCCCACTGCAAATCCGGGACACATAAGACAGTTGACAAAGGTTTTCTGGATCCGTGTGTGTGTGTGTGTGTGTGTGTGTGTGTGTATGAAGAGCATGTGTCTAAGTGTGCAAGTCTTAAACATTTTAACACCATTGCAAACACCTCCCCTAGCAGCACCTTGGGCAAAGAATAAAAGAGATCTGTCACCAACCCCACCTGGGTTTTCTACCTGACGGGGCATAATTAAGAGTGGTTGGTTTAATTCACATAGAAGTACTAGAAAGGGCTTGTGTCAGATTACATTGCACATGGAGAAGCCGAGGGTTGGATGCATCCATTCGAATGTGTTGGGAAGGGTACTTTTTCTCCCCCACCCCATGATGTGCGCATTCGTGTCTTTATTTTCAAAGCCTTTTCCTGGCAGGGGTGTAGAAAGTCACCCCCATGTGAGAAGAGGAGTTTATAAACTCATTTTGCCAGAATGGTCCCATAGCACCTTTTATAGCCACGGCTTCGAGTTCAGTACCCTTTGGTGCTGGCATCCAGCTGCATCTCGCCAGGGTGTGGGAAGCTCGCCAGTTCCTACCATCACCTCTGAACCCTTTTTCTTTCTTCTTCTTCTTCTTCTTTTTCTTTCTTTTTTGATTTCCAGCAACAAGGAGCAGCCACCACTGTCTACTGTGCAGCAGCCCCAGAGATGGAGGGCCTGGGAGGAATGTATTTCAACAACTGCTGCCGCTGCCTGCCCTCGGCCCAAGCACAGAGCGAGGAGACAGCCCAGGCCCTGTGGGAGCTCAGTGAGCGACTGGTGCAGGACCGGCTGGGCAGTGCGTCCGGCTAACGGGGACCCTTCCTGCCCGGCACTGCAGTTCCATGTCCCTGCAGTGCAGATACTCAAGAGCAAAGGAAATCAGAGTGCTTGACAGATAAGAAGCGGTGACAGGAAACCGAATTAAATGCAGGGATGAGGGACGGTGTCACCTCCCTGCGGCTGGGGTAGGCGTGGGTCCCTCTGCTTTCTGGTGGTGGCCTGTTAGAAAGCAAAAGCTTGGTAGGTATGTGGGTCTTTCTCTCACTGTAGAAGCACAAGCAGCCCTCTCTCACTTCTAGAGTAGCCTGATATCCCCTGTCTCATGGCCACCACTGCAGCCAGAGGCGGCTTGCCCTGGTACAGGGGAGAAAACTCGAGTGATCATCCTCCCGTGATGGATTTGCCCAGGAGATTATTGTCTCATTCATCCCAACCAAGTCTGCACAGGCTTGGCAACTTCGGGGAGAGAGTCCCAGAGGTTTGTTCCAGCTGATGACGCTGATGAGTTAGGTAGGCATAGCACAAGGGTGCAGCAGCCCCTGTCACCGACTCCTTCGCCAAAGCTATGCAAACAGTTCTTTAGAGATGATAACAAATAAAATGTCCAAACCATTTTCTAGATAGCTAGATGGGCAAGAAAGGGAGGTCGTGTCCTTGGGAACACACGAAATGTCCTTGCAGTGGGGGGTAAACCATCCATCCCTTCAGCCGCCACACATGGTCCCGAGAGCAGCCCGGTGGCTGAGCTTCACTCTCTGTCCCCGGCTTCTGCATCTGCCTTCAGCTTCCTCCCCTTCCTCCCATCCTATGCTTAATAAAAGATCATGCTTGACTACGATTGCCTGAAGTTTGTATCATTTCTTTAAATGTTTGTCTCAGTTTTTTTGTTTTTGTTTTGTTTTTTTAGAAAAGAAATCTAGAGGAAAAATAAAGCGCTTCTTGTAGACGCCAGGAAAACACACTTCTTATTTCTTCTCTGAGTTTGGGGTTTGTTTTTGTGCTTTGTGGCTGTCTGTGACCAGGTCGTCTCACACCATTAGCATGCCAGCATCGTGTTTTCTGTCAGAGAAAGAAAGAAAAAAGAAAAGAAAATGACTGTTGTTTAATGTAACACCTTAAGATGTTTTGTCATTACTCACAGAGAGTCATCTCGGTCCACAGTGGCTTGCTCCCCTGTGATTATGGAGAATTTAGTGATTAGAGAGGATCTCTATGCATCAGAATGGAAACACTTGGGGACTCTTCCCCCTCATCCCTTTCCTTTTCCACCATGGATTCCTCTGAGTTTAAAAGCTCCCTAAATTATAAAGAACAAGTCTTCATGCATTCATTGCTTCATTCAACAAACTTTCCAAATGCAACATTCTGGAAATTCAAAGTTTAGATTAAACCAGCAAGGACACTAGAAAGTCCACTCTGGCATGACAGAGAGTATGCATTTGCCCAAAGAAATCCTGCACCAGGAGGGGAAGGGTGGGGATGTGTGTCACTGCCTCTCCTCCTGACAACAGCAGCTCCAGGGTAGGCAACACCATGAATTGCCAGACTTGTCTTCCTGTGGTTCTGCCATCAGGGACCATTTTCTCTGCAGCCTCCCATCTGGCATATTCTCCCAGAGAAAGCCCCGCTTACTCCAGGACTACTGAAGTATGAATTCAATAGTGCCATTTTTCTGTGCAAACCCTCTGCTGTTTCTAAGGTGGATTCTTTGCACAAATGCTCGACCTAATTCTTCTCTCAGTATCCACACATTTGGTGACCACCTTCCATACCAACTTTGACCTCGGCCACATAACTCTGCTTGCTGCACTAGGGCTTGGCCTTTTCTGCTTTCCCGTGGAATCCTGCAGATGCCACCATGTGCTTGAGCCTGGGCCAGCCTGATGACACAGGATCAATACCAGATCTGCCATCAAGCTCACCGTTAACCTGTGTGTGAGGTCATCCCATACTGTCCACCCCAGGTGAGCCAACCCAGAGAAGAAGCTTCCAGCCAACTCACAGAGCTGCAAAGGTAATAAAAGTGTGTCATTCTATGCCACTAAATTTTAGGATTACTTATTACACAGCAAAGGCTGACTGATACAGCTTCTCATTTTTGCTGAGTAAAGGCTAGCTTTTCTCCAGATCCTAGGAGTTCTCTCACAATCTTGTCCTCTTTCTCATCCTATTTTCTAGCATTTTCTTCTCATCCACTGCAAGCCACTCCAACATGACACACACACTCCAAACCCAAGGTCTTCATGATTTCTGTCCCTTCTGCTGAAGTTATTCTTCCAGGAACCTCCCTGGCTTTCTCCTTCAGTGTTCAAATGTGACCCTTTCCAGATGTGGTGTTTCTAGCCATTGCATTCATGGCGTCATCTCAGTCATCCTCCCTTTACCTGTTACTTTTCTCCTCCAAAACACTTAATACTATTCAATGCATTATGAGTCTATGTATTGGTTTTCTCTGTCCCTATATATAAAGGCCATAAATTTGTCTACTTCCTTTGCAGTAGTGGCCACCTGCCTTCGACTCTACCTTTCACATAGTATTTTTAATAGATGATGGTGAAGGGAAAGAATAACATTATGTTCATGAAAATAACGCCCACCACTGTGAGAATGATGAGAACCACAGACTGTTCTAAGCAGGCTACATTATATCTAATTTCTAAAGGGACCGTGATCTGACTAGGTGGCCCCCTTCCTGTCTTCTAGCTGAAGATGTCATCTTTACCCTTGACCACACCACTCATAAGTCAGCAGAGCCATGATTCACACCCAGGTCTGTGACTTCAAAGTTGTGTGGCTTCCCTGTACTCAAGCCACCACCCCTTCCGTAAGTTGAATGTTCCCATTCTGATAGGATGCATAGTCTGTCTCAGGCTGAGCAGCAAGGTGTCTTTCAGGGTCCAACTCCAGCTCACCGTCAGGAGGAAGTTACACTAGGACAAAGACAATCAGCTAAGGTGATATCCAAAATTTCAAAAGGACAAAAATAAAACCTATGTCCCATGTGGACCCTGGTTCAGACTGGTGCAATAAGGCCCAGGAGAACTTGGCAAAGAAAGATGAACATTCTCCTAAATCAAGGTTCTCTAAGTTATACAAACCAGATCTTTATACATTTTCACTTATTTGGTCAACAAACATACTAAGTGCTGCATTCTGCAAATTCAAACTTCAGAGTTACACCCACCCTGAGCAAAGTCTTATTATACAGGAATCTAAATCATGGGTCTACCAGAGTCAACCCAACGCATAAGATCCTATTCCATTTTCTCAGAAGTTCTGTAGGTACTCAAGGCTGAGCCGAGTTCCCAGAAAGATGGCCAGGCTTCCTCTTCCTTACGAGCTCAGTCTGACATCTCCGTGGGCCATTTTTCCCTGCCAGAAGCATCATTGTCATTTCTTTGGCTAATTCTGTAGGGGACTTGGGACAAGTGAGCAGCTGGCAGCTGGGTAGGGTGATCATAATTTGGCTTATTCTAAGACAAAGGCTGTTCTCACCATTTGTCACGATACGTATCCTATACCTGTGTACCTATATGTGCACATATATAAAGTGCTTTACAACGATCCTGCTCTATCGCCACCAGTACTAATTGCAGGTGTCATTTATTGAGCATCTACCCAGCACCAGTTAAGAGTCTAGGCAACCCACATCCCTCTTACTGTGTGCTCAGAGGAGGAGACTGAGGTTCAGAGAAACAGAGCAACGTCTCCGCAGCCCCACAGCTGGTGTGTAGCGGTCAGGATTTGAAACCAGCTCTGTCTGCCTCCAGCCCTTGTACTTTCCAGTACATACCGTGCTTTCCGGCAGCCTATAGACCAGCAGCGTAGGGTTATTAAATTTATTCAAGAAGTTAATTATTCACAAAGGAAAGCAAGTTGGCTCTCTATCCAGGGATATAGCAGTCTCCCTGGATGGCCAATACCTGAAGTTAAATTCACAATTTTTAAAAAACAAAAAAACCTTTTTTTGTAGTTCTGCGTTTGAATTGAGGGCCTTCAAACTCAACCACATCTGCATGTCTTTTTATTTTTTGTTTTGAGATGGAGTCTCACTAAGCTGCTCAATTACCCAGACTGGGGTCAAACTTGCAATCCTGCCTCAGCCTCCCAGAGTGCTGGGATTGCAGACACGCACCACTGTGGCTGGCTGGCACATCTCTTTTTCTTGCATGTGCCATTTACCCAGCAATGCTGGCTTCATCCCCCCCCACATTCCCTAGGGATCCTCTCTGCTGTTCTGATCTGAACCGATCTGAGCCTGGCCTTGTTCCTTGGTCTTAGCTTTGGAAGGACTCAGTGTCCCGAGTGCTCCCAAAGCCATAGACTCTACCCAAAATGGGAAGTCTGTGTGCTTCTCTTTTGCTTTTCTCTGTCCCTGTTTCTTTAAACCCCAAGGCTGTCGGTTTATACTTTCACACATGAATAAGACAGTCCTTGCTGCAGCTTATCAATAGGAAGCAATGGAAGCCTCCCCCTGGCAAAGGCTGAAGCCCGTGGCTTGTGGTTTTGCTCTCTCCAGTGGGGGAGGGTGCTTTTGATTTGAACTTCAATGAAGAAGGCCTGATTACTTTCATCAAGGTCAATGCTAGGCCAGAAAGTCTTGGCTTGCAAAATCGCTGCCCATTCTGATCACCAACAGATACCATTTTTAGAAGTTTTACGTCAAGAAAGCCTCGAAAATAGCATTACCTACCCTGTGTATTGCATTGTGACTTTCAACATATCCAAACTAGTTTGCCCTCCCTTCAGAATACTGACTAATATCATGAAATGTAATCCACATCATCTCGGAAGAAACTGCTCTGAATTGAATTGTATCTATTGATGAAATGATGTAGAAGCAATAAAGGTAATTTTTAGAAAATGAATAATACCATGAGATACTTTAACACACAGCATTTCACCTTTTCTTAGTGTCAAGTCTTCACGGCATTTGTCCACCGCCCCCTCAAACCATCTTCTTTCTCAGAGCTTTCAATCATTTTGCTAGATGCCTGATGTTGCTGGTGGGCCACCACTTGGAAGCCCATTGCCCTACTCTGCACCATTTAGGTGAGTTCCGATTTTTGCTGTTAGAACCAATTGTTCCATGAGCATTTCTGTGCAGATCAAATTTACCTTTTATGAAGTACATACCCCTTGTAGATCTTCAGGAGACCCAAGTGGTACTGCTGTGACACTAGGTAGGAGGGCCATGCCCACCCCAACCTGTGCATTTCTGTGCACATCTTTTAAATTTGTTTTAATGTCACTTTTTCATAACCTCTATCTATTTATCTATACTGTTTCCAAGCAGTCAGCTTCCATACTTAAAGTAAAAGCATTTTGTCTTTCATTTCCTACCAGCTCTGAGTTCCCAGTTTTAATTATCATGGAAATTCAGAGTGATTGTAGAGAGAGAGTTTTGGCAGGAAAATATCAATGTAGCTCAGATACCTCATCATTGCAATATTATTCAACCTGTGAATGTTCTGCATCTTCTCTTTTCCAGACACCAGTTGTACTACATGGACCCCAGCAATGTGGCAAAGAGTACAACTCATATCCCAGAAATCTTGGGCCCATGCTGGCACACGTGTTGATGCCACTAGATGGGATTCCTCAATAGGCCACTTTTGGGCAGTTTCTATGAAAATGTGGCACTCTGATCAGAAAGATGGTCTTGCTTTTGACTGATGTGTTTACAGGGCTAGCCTCTGGTGTGCCTTAGGTGAAAGGGAGCAAAAGCTGTTTCTTATTCTCTAAAGAGGAAATGCAAATGGCAGGCCTCCATCACTCATTCCAATGAGAGGGGCTCTGCATGGTCTTCCGTCTGGCTGACTTTCCTGAGTTTACTTG